CTTCTGCTGTTACTAGGCTTGCCTTGTGTTTTGCACATTTCACATGATTTTTAATGTCTGAATGTCCACCATGACTTATTGAAAATTCCGAAAAGCACAGTTCACATTTCACTTTGTCCATATGATTACAAACTTTTTTAAAAACGGGTATTTTTTTTTTTTAACTCATCAGTAAACACACAGCTTCTTTTTGGCATTTTGGATTAATTAATGTACCATACATTACAAAATAATTGCAAATTTCGACTAGCAACTTCAATGCGACTAAGATAAGACATGCGCAGCAATGACGTGCCAGTATAAGTTTCGTGTTGCCAACTCTAATAAAAATAAAATATCTAAAAAATGAAATAAAATATCCAGATCTCATAGGCTACATGCTATTATAAATTCTGTGAAAAAATATTTAAATTCATTAGACCAGATGCTATAAATTTTGGGGAAAACATCTAGACAACGTTAAAAGTACTTAGATCTAGATACGAAATATTTAGATTGGCAACAGCTAGTGTAACAGAGGGGTAATTGCCAAATCGCTATTTTACTCGAGGCTGCACTATTTTTACTACTTGTATATTCGGCACTTTTAAAATTTTACAAATAACTGGGACAAAATGACAAACTGGCCGGGACAATCCCAGTCAAAATGGGACATCTGGTAAGCCTAATAATAATTATTTTTTTGATATCATTTTTTAGTGATCTCCTCCTTTCCCTTTCATTCTATGAATCTGTTGCACCTGTCTAGTTATGTCCCTGATTAGAAGTGACAAGTACACATTATTTTGTATACTAGAAGTATTGTATATTGATTTAGAGCAAATTAAGATCTTTTTGCCTACCTTTTATCCTTGTAAAATAAAAGATTTTGATGTGACAAGAATTCATTTGCTTTTTGATTGGAATTGTGGAAGGATTTTGTTGATTTTTGTAAGCATTTTTGCCAACTTGAAACTTTTGTTCCTGATTTCTTCTGCCTCTGTGAGTCTGCTTAAGCTATGTTTACATGATTGGTGTCTCTAGCTGAACAAGGCAACTGCAATCAACTCTGTTTCAGTTATTTGGTAAACCCCTCTGAATGGTGCATAAGTACAACCACTATTGACAACAAACTGATTTATCCTCTGTGCTACCAATGAGAAATGTCAAATGTGGTGATGTAGGATTTAGAAAGATAGTTTTGGAAGCTTGTTTTATCAAGTGATTGATAAAACAATAAATTATATAAATATAAGTTAATGATACATTTTTATTTGTACAGGTAACCCCCGTATAACACGGCACTTCTATAGCACGGATTCGCTCTAACACGGTTCGAGAATTGGTACTATCCCCCGTATAACACGGTACTTTTATAGCACGGATTCACTCTGACACGGTTCGAGAAATGGGTAAAACCCTCGTACAACATGAAATGTAATAAATTTTTACATACTTAAGTACTAATAGTTCACGAAAATTATTATTTTCGTGAACTATTAGTACTTCAGTGTGTAAATTTTCTTTTCTCGTCTCCATACACATGGTCCTTCGCGAAAATTGTTTCAATTTTGCCAGATCTCGACGCTTCTGCTTCTGGTGTTGCCAGATGTTTTTCCGTTATTCCATAAGTGCTTAGCACCATATAAGGAAAATTATAAAGATCTTTTAACTAGAAGCAAGCAATCTAAAATTACATACACTTTTTGCAAAAGGTAAAGCACGAATCTGAAAATAATGCAGAAAAATGCTGGGAGGATAATGATAACTTGCCAAAAATAAAACGCTCTTGGTAAATAGTGCTTTTAGTGATGACAAAGAAAACATTGTTTATATTAATATGTATCACTTAAGAAAATTTTAATAAAGATATTTATCTTAATTATGAAAATATAGTAGCATGTTTTTTAATTTTTGGAACCTAACCCTCCTTTTTGTACTAGTTCTTTGTTTTGCATAACACGGCAATTTTTTGGAACGTAACTACCGTGTTATACGGGAGTTACCTGTATATGCTTAAGTAATTTGCAAGATTTCACAATACTTGTGTGTGAGGATTTAAGAGACAAATGCTGTAGATGTTTTTAAGGATTTTAACTTAAAAAAGATCTAAAAATATTTTTTAAATGTTATATTTGATCATCAAATAGTCCTTCGGATGACTAAAGAATAATTTACATTAAGAAATGAACAATTCTTAAAATTTTGATGAAAAAAGAATGGATTTCTACTACATGATAATGTGTTGTCTTATTCTTCAGTGATATGTTTAGAATATTTTTTACAGAGCAGGAAGTGTAAAACTAAATCATTTCTTATTACCCTGATTTGTCTCCCATAAACTATTTCATGTTCCAAATTCAAATTTACATTCTAAAAAAATTCACAGATAAAGAAGACACTAAATATGATACAAGAAAAAAAATGGCAGCATCTAATCCCCCTATTACAGACATGGAAAAATAAAAAATATTTACATCATGGCTAAGTAAATAATTTAGGCCTATTTTGTATAAAGTTGCAATTTTAAAGATATAATGTTTTCAATGTGCTAATTTTAAAAAAATATTTAGTAACTTCAGAAAGTATACAGAAGGTAATAAGTTAAAATAGAGTTTATAAAAATATTAATCAACAAGCTTTATATAAACTTGATGTTGATATATAAATTTTTAATTTTAATGATTAAAATAATCAAAAATTTCATTGTTTCAATAATACAGTCTTAACTATTATATGTTTTACATAGGTATTGCAATTATTTAACAATCTGGTAAATTTTTTATATGTTAATATGAACATTTACAATTTAATATTTGTCACAAATCATATTGTCCACATTTTCATTACTGCTTGTAAGAACTGGTTTGAATTTGTATTTTTGTGAAGTTTGATTAGATTGTAATGATTAAAAAATATTTTGAAAATAAAAATCTGATCCTAATGTGGTCTTATTAATTATTATTATTATATATATTGTAGCCACAAGCTGAAATTTGCCATTTCTTGAAGTTCTAACACATCCTGTAATAAACATTCATTTCAGAATCTGTCTAGTTTTTCAGCTCACTTCTTGAAATGCTAGCTTGGTTTCTACAGATGTTTGCACAATTGTATATTTCAGCACTTATCTAATGAATCTAAGCATTTCATGTAATGTCAAATAATTATAAACATGATTCTTAAATTAAAGCTAGAGAGTTATTGGACACGAGTGCTGAAGTTGTCTCCCCAATTGGCATTGTGAGTAACAAGTATGGTTATATCTATTAATAACAGTTAATTTATTAATACTGTAGATTGGATGGATATCTGTGTAGCATTACTGGCAATGTGTCTGCACAGCAAACAGGAGTTGCAGGTTTGAGTCTGCTTTGGGCAAATTCTTTTCTTCCAGAAACCTTCTAAATTAATTATTAAATATTAATTAAATTATTATTATTAAATTTATAAGGAGATAGCACCTAACATCTACCTCTAGGCCAAATATCTTCATAATTAATTAGTAATTAGTAACACTAATATAGCCTGACGTCTAATAGTTTATTAGCACTTGGTGTAAAACAAGATAGCCGAATGTTGTAACTTTTTTGAATATAAATTATTTGATAAAAATGATACATCATTTAAAATATATAGGCTTATATCAACTTTAGTAACTAATTATTTTTGTAAATATAATAAAACAGCAAAAACTATTGTTTATATGTTTTATACCTTTGAATTTAGGGTTATTTAAATAATGGCTGTCAAATAATGAAATAAACAGAAGCAACTTAAAATTACTTATATATTTTTCATTTAAAGAAAAAGTTCCAAAATTTGGGTCTTAAAAAATTTTTTATGGCTACATTACTAGATTATGATATTTTATAATATAAAAAAAATAAAAATGAATGCCAGATGTGATAAATACACTACTGAAAAAGCAATTATTTATCATGACATCATCACAATGCTTTGGCTGCACTTTTTAATCATTAATTAATTTAATTTAAAATCAGGGCTGTGGAGTTGCGTAAAAATCTACCAACTCTGACTTTTCCTTACCATCTGACTCTGACTCCGACTCCGACTCCGTTTCATATACATAACAAGTTGGTAAGTAAAAGGGAGTCGGAATCGGCAGATTTTTTGATAACTCCGACTCTGGCTAAAACACCAAAACTCCACGACTCCGACTCCACAGCCCTGTTTAAAATATATGCTCACCACCTTAAATTAATACTGTAACGTTTGCCCCTATACATCATACTTTTATGTTAGCAATGGAGTTGTCTTGGTCATCTATCAAACTCCTTTCAGGGGGAACATTTTGAATTGAAATAACGTGATTTCTGGATTGTATCTGAAGTTTGTATTTAGTTAATCAGGGCCTCCTGCCCTAAGCTTTTTATATCTGGTCTTTGACTTTCATGTGTGTAACTCTGTTCTCGGGATTAAGGAGGAATGGACAGACGACAGTGGGAATTTATAGGTCCACAATTATTTTAATTTGCAGTCCAATAATCAAACTTTATATTTCAGTTGCAAACAAAATAAAATAATATCTCAGTCAAGCAATAAAAATGTAATGTTGGCAACAGTGCATCATAATTTTATTTTCTAATGTTTGCATCACTGTGCTTTGCTATAAACAGACTACACTGATTGATTGTTGACTCATTCTGTTTAGTCTGTTGGAAGTATGATGGCTAGATGACTAAGGTGATTCAAATTGGTAAATAGATGATGTCAGCATACTGCTCTGGAGGACCCAGGATCAAATCCAGGCAAACAACCTACAGAATTTTTCATGGGTGTTGAGTTCTCAATAAGTTGGATTCTATCTTCACCACCCAGCCAGCTTGTCTCATTGAAGATCCATTCTTTATCTATTGTCTGGCCAAAGCAGTCATATGTGTGAGGGGAAAAGGCTGTCTTACTGCCCTTCTTGAAATGGCAAATTTTAGCATGTGGCTATGATATATATATATTTTATTAATAAAATCTGTATTTTAATAATGTTACTGTTTTTATAGGGAGAATCTGTTAATGTAGTATCATTGGGTGAATCAGGAGATCTTTCTGATAGAGTTCGGAAATTAGAAAAAGAAAACGACTCATTAACAGCATGTAAGAACATTGATAGGGATTGGAATAATTGAGAATATTACTAATATCTATAATTAAATGTTGATTTTAGAAAGATTAAACAGTTGACAAAAACAAATGTATCTTTCTTAGGGTGCCAAGATTTGCAGTCATTAATACAAAAGCTTGATTCTAGAATTGCTGTTTTAGAAGGAAAGAATAAAGTTGTTACTGAATCTGTCAAACCAATAAACAAGACAGTAAGTAATGTTGAGGTGAATTTAAAATAATGCCTATAATTATAGGAATATTTTAGAAATATATAGAATTATTTATTAAACATATTAATTCTTATATCAATTGAAATCAGATATGTGATCAGAAAATTTTTTCTCCATAGGTAAATAATATAAAACCTGATGATGATGATGATGATGATGATATTGATTTATTTGGTTCAGATGAAGTATGAGTTAATTTATCATTTTAAAAAGATGTTAAACTAAATTAAGTTGAAATTTAATTATTTTTGGTTAGAAACAGAAATAATTTTTCTATGTTATTTGTTTATTTTTTAGTAAAACATAATTTTACCAATTCTAGGAAGATGAAAAATCATCTAAAGCTAGAGAACAGGTTTTGAAAGCGTATGCAGAAAAGAAATCAAAAAGTAAGTGATGACATTTTATTTCTGTAAATGTGATAGTATAGTTAAAATTTATCAGACTCGTAATAGTTTGTTAATTTCAGCAATTTTTGATGAATTTTCAATCAAACCATACAAAACTTCTTTTTATAGATTAGGTCTACACATTAAATGAAACTTTGAACATCTTGGGCAGCCTATGAGGTGTTTATTTACAGTAGGTACCAACTTGGTGTAAGGTTGCCGACTGAGTGGGATTGTCAGGATGGTCGAGGGGTTGAGAAAGCTCTTATGTGGGTGTGATTTGGACACTAAATTCCTTTACATTTTGATCTTGTTTAATTGAGGGGAAAAAATACTTACAAGATTTTGTTAATTTCACCTATAAAAATTCAGCTTTGATTGTTCAGTTGGAGAGAGTCCAGGGAAAGTATGAATGTCACTGTGGTCATTGACGATCAGATCCTTTGCAATTTGTCTTATGGGTTGATGATCTCAGGGCTCTTTTTGTCTAGTGAAATTGTGGATTGGGTGAGAAGTTTGGATTGTTTGAAGTGTCTATCCACTGAAGTACAACAAAGGGAACTTAAATGTTTAAGATGGCTGGAACTTATTTTGAGTAACAATGGTTTAGTAGAAAGAATGGCTTCAGGATGAGATGGGTCTGCGGAATTTCTCAGGACATGGATTATAGAGAGAGAAGTGGTGATCTTGGTCCTTGAGAGAAAGAACCTTGTGTCCTTGAAACATGAGTTTTTAAAGGATTTTTCTTCTTGATTCTGCATTCCAATTGGATTATGATCTTCCTCATCGCTTCTGATTGGTCTTCCCTTGTCTCCAGTTGACAATTGAAAATCTTTCTGGGTGCAGGAGAGGTCATCATTGATGCTAAAACCCAACCTGATCAGATAGAATTCCTCCAAACTTTGAAATTTTCACTTGTAATTCCAGTGTTTCAATTGTTGTTGTGAGACATTGTGTTGTCTTTATTTTCTATAGGTGTGAGTGTAACTATCCTGTTGGATATTTGTTAACATTTAAACGCTAAATTCCAAATTCCTATCAGGACCTCACATTGGGAACATTGAGTAGGTCTACAAATTTCTATGGGATGTGTTCAAAATTTGTCAAAAGAAGTTTTTAACAAAGTAAAATTATATTTAAAAACTTAAAAAAATCCTGTGATAAAAGATACATTTTAAAAAAAGCTGTAATTGGTTACAATATTACAAGTCATATTAAAGATTACATGCTAAAATTCCTTTTAATAGATACACAAAACTAATAAGTAATTTGATATTGAAGAAAATTTAGTATTAATATTTAATACTTCATATAAGCAAAATGAAAATATAAACAGCTGATTAATGAACAATACACCACACAGAACCTTTTCTTTCCCCCCCTCAGTTGAAAATTAAATATCAACAGACTAAGGCTGGTATACACAGTAAGGAAATCCTCAAAGGATGTGCTTAACAGACGAAAAAAACTTGGATATAACTGGCTGGATCGAACATAGTAATTTACAAAACTTATTAAAATATCTCCCAACGTATAAAGAATTATTTTTATTTAAAAATGGATAGATAGAAAAAAAAATCACAGTTAATCCTCAAAGGATTTCCTTACCGTGTATAACAGGCTGTTATACACGGTAAGGAAATCCTTTGAGGATTAACTGTGATTTTTTTTCTATCTATCCATTTTTAAATAAAAATTTAAATAAAAATAATAAAAATAAAAATTTTAACATTTCTCAACCACAAACTGGACAAAGACCAACTTTACACTCGAAACATTAGTCTGTTGTTTATAAGAATTATCCAGTTATGTGGATTGCTAGGAATGATTGAGCTTATTAATGAAGTAAAGAATTCAGTGATCAGGTGTTAGCATCTGTTATTTAAACATTAAAACTGTTATTTAAGAAGCCTATGATTTTTCTACATTTAAAATACACTACAACTTGTTTAGAATAGATAAGGAAATATTTGGAATAGACAAATCTTTGTTTTATTCACAATCTGGTTTATCCAGATTGTGAATAAAACAAAGTCTTGTCTATTCCAGAAAAATTAATGGTCCTGGAAGAAATAAGCCTTTTCTTATATACTTTATTTTGTATAAAACTGAAAACAAAATTAATTCAATACTACAAAATATAAATCTTAAAAATGGAAATTTTAATTTAGAAACATGTTTTAGAAATTATTTTATTTCAGTTTTAATCAAATTATAATTAAAACTAACAGAGAGTAAAATAATAAATACAAGGCAATGTAATAACAACAAATGAAAGTCTTTAAAGTGTAAGTCCACAGTCCATACAAATGTACTTCATACATCATTGATATTTTTCCTCCAATCGACAGTGCTTAATATTTTTTATCTTGTGCTTTCTGCTCTCATATTCTTTGCTGTATCCATATTAGATTTATCATCATAATGAAGTCTGATGGCTTTGTGGATGTTTGTTATTAATTATTACTAAAAAGTACAGTGGGTGATCAGTTAATGAACATAATCCGTTCCAAGACTATTCGTTAACCGATTATCGATTTACCATAGGTTTTTATGGGAATTTGATTAATTTATTCTGGAGACTCCAAAAAAAATAAAAAATACATACTTTTTTACTACATATTTTATTTATATGTAATAGTAAAAATACATATACAGTAGAGCATCGATTATCCGGCCCTCTGATTAACCGTCACATCGGTTAACCGACCATTCTAGTCGGCAAATTTCAAATGTCCGCTAGTGATGTGGCATTACAATATTTGGCTATATCTTGGCTACTTTAATATTATTTTTGTTAAATTTTTGCGTGTTTTAGCTGGCATCAACGGCTCGACCATTGAAGGGAGGCCAATATTTAAATGAGACTTAATTTTCTAATTATGAGAGGTTGTTTGTTTTGTGAGCAATAAAATAATTTAAAAATAATTTTTAACGATACAATAGCGACGATTATTATTTAAAAAAAAAATTTTTTAGGCTAAACATCGATGAAAATTTAATGCAAAGTTGGTTAATAGCGATATACTAAGAAACTAATTACATGGGATATACTAATATCCTAATATACTATACTAATAATGGATTTTTTTCCTTCTTTTTGGTTATCCGATTTTTCAGTTATCCGACCAACCTGAGTCTTCAATTGAGTCTGATAATCAATGCTCTACTGTATATGCAGTCTTGCAATTTTATTAGTCATGTTTTTTTTGTTTGTGGGAGTTAAAGAATCTGTCCAATATTGATTGCTTTTTCTCTTTTCTTCAGGATTTTTCGGAAGTAATTAATTGTATTGTAATTGTAGAGATCCGTTGGGGATCTCTACAATTACAATACAATTAATTACTTCCGACCCCAACAACCTTATTCTGGTTTGGATGCCACTTGGATGATTGTTGTTCTGACATCCATAGAGTTCTTCTGTCGTCAGATCAGTTTCAGGTTCTATTATTGTAATTGTAGAGATCCGTTGGGGGCAAAGTGGCATCCAAACCAGAATAAGGTTGTTGGGGTCGATTACAATACAATTAATTACTTCCCCCAACAACCTTATTCTGGTTTGGATGCCACTTGGATGATTGTTGTTCTGACATCCATAGAGTTCTTCTGTCGTCAGATCAGTTTCAGGTTCTATTATTGTAATTGTAGAGATCCGTTGGGGGCAAAGTGGCATCCAAACCAGAATAAGGTTGTTGGGGTCGATTACAATACAATTAATTACTTCCCCCAACAACCTTATTCTGGTTTGGATGCCACTTCGATGATTGTTGTTCTGACATCCATAGAGTTCTTCTGTCGTCAGATCAGTTTCAGGTTCTATTATGAGCTCTAAAATGCTCTTTATTTCTCAGATGTGATTTTCATTACTCCATTAGCAGCTTGAGATTTCTTGATAAACCTTTCATAGCTAAGATTGTGCCTATTGTAGACCTGTTTGAGCCATACTGCCTAGCAACATCAGACATCTCGCACCCACTTTCTACCTTGGCTATTTTCTCTTACTTGGTTTCTACGGTGAGCACAGTTCTTGACACTCCTCTTTTTAGGCTCCATAATATTATCAGTTTCTTTTTTAAAATAAAAAGTTCAGAAAAGTACTTAGAAAAATTCATAGAACAGAAATCAACTAGCCTACAAAATATATTTTAAATGCAAGGCCTGGATGCAATTCGAAATTTGGTATTAAAACGTTAACAAATATCCGATGGGAAAGTTAAACTTTCACCTTTCGTAAATAAACCCCGATGCAAAACTTAACGAGTGCCTGTCTGACAGTCTTGTGAAAACTAAGAAAGAAAGGTAAACAAAAAGCTGGAATTACAAGGGAGAGTTTCAAATTCAGAGGGATACTATCGGATCGGTATCGGGTTGAGCATCGATGTTGACGTCTTCCGCGCTCCGAAAGGTTTTGAATTTTTACCCGAAGACAAAGGAAAATCAGTTGGTATTCATTATTTTTAGTCGCTTCTTTTTATGTTTGTTCAGTAAAGTGCTTGTTATCCAAACATGTGTTCATTGTCTGATCATAAAAATGTTTCACGAAAGTGTTCATTATCCAATTTGTTTGTTATCCAAACTGTTTGTTAACTGATCACACACTATACTCCTATTTAGCATAAAAATATAAATAAAAGCAATGGGATCAGTTTATTCTATAAATTTTAAAAAATTTAATTAAAAAGCTCAAAAGATACTTAAAGATATCTTTTAAACTAACAAGTTAAAATTAATCAGTTTTTTAGTTTCTTCAAAATTGGAAAAAACTGAGAAATTTTAACTTGTTAGTTTAAGAGATTTCTTTAGGTATCCTTTGAGCTTTTAATTTTTTAAAATTTACTATTTAGCAATGGAATATGCAAGAAGTATCAAAAAGTTAAGAAAAAATTAGAAAATAAATCAGGTTACTTGTTGAATAATTTCAAAAGTAAATTTAGTAGTCAAATAAAATTTTTGTCGTCTAAGAAAACTGAACAACCACTAATTTGAACCCTGGAATAGTG